TCCCGAAAGTTATAAACTGCCTCTGAACCTAGTTAAGGTACAAACATCTATTCAACAAAAATAGTGATGCAGTAAGTGTTTTTTCGCTCAGCCGAGCCCTCTCTGTTGCTGTGTGGAGCAGCCTGTGTCAGTCACCTCTTTTCCTGAACGTCGCTCACTCAACTCGCGCACTGCGGTCTCATGAGGAACGCAGCTTTTTGACATACAGTATTTCTTGTTCCCGAACACAAATATTTTTTAAGTAATTTGTCGGAATAAGTATTCGTAAAAAACACATTATTGTGGCCTTTCCGAATACCGTATTCGGCTCCACCCCTAGTACACACTATATTTTGCATAGTTATTTATTTAACAAATTTCTTTTTGTTAATGTTTTGCAGTCAAACTATACATATACTGTACACACTATAAATGTGTGTGTGTTTTGTGTGTGTGTGTGTGCGTGTGCATGCATTTGTGTGTAAGCATGCTTTAATGAAGTTAACATGAAAAAAAATGTTTGCTTTAGTGGCAGAAATATTGGAGAAACAAAGTATTTCAAATGGAAGTGTGCCAATAAGTGGTCTTCTACTGCCCTCTGTTGGCCACTTTTCTTATTAATAGTCTTTGCACTTGCTATATTGTGGTAAACCATCCTATAACATGGTATATCAAGGTAAACTATGGAAAATCATGTTAGATTCATGGTAAATCATACTAGAACATGGTAAATCATGAAAAATCACATTGAAATATGGTTTATCATGGTAAACAATGCTTGCTACATAAAACTTAATGTCTTTTGATGCTTTTGTGCTTAAAGGCCTTAAAGGCCTAAACTGCTTGAACCCCGCAAAATGCCTGCTTGCAGCTTTAATTATTATTATTATTCTCCCCTAAAACGCATCGTGCAGCCCAAACCGTAAGTGCTGGAGCTCTGAAACTTTGTCAGATGGTAGTACAAAAATCGAGGAGAGGTTATCAAATTATGAGCCCGATTGGCCATAGGTGGCGCTATAGCGACCAATTGCGCGAAACGGCTCATAACTCCTAGACCGTAAGTCGTACACTCAAGTGTCTTATATCATTGGAAAGCTGGTCACCTGACGAAAAAAACGTATATCTCCGATTTCATTTCCGGTATGGAAATTTTTCCGCCATTTTGAATTTTGTCGAAAACTACTTTTGCGAACTAGTCCCTGGTTTTTTGCCCGATCGGAACCAAACCAGTGCAGAAATGTTCTCTGGAGTCTGCAGATCAATAATTATCAAAAAAATGTTGAAATTTCTATTTCGGTCGCTAGGGGAGCAAAATAACGTTGTGGGAGGAGCCTATTTTACTAAATTGGCTATAACTCAAGAAGTAAATGAGAATATCTTCACCAAACTCGGTACACATGTGTACGAGTTCAATTTGAGGTCACAGTAAAAAAATAGCGACGATTGAACACTAGGTGGCGCTATAATATGAAAAAAACATAAAAAGGGCTATGACCACATGACAGTTAGTCCGATTGACTTGAAATTGGTATGCAGTGTCTTGGACCAAGGCCCATGTATATCTATGAGGACATTGGCGTATCTAAAAAAACATGGCCGCCATCGGCAATGAAGTTTGTGCATCTATGAAACAAGGTTAACGAAGCCCGATCAGAACGAAACTCGTTGGGCATGTTTGACTCATGGCCCTAGAGGTCTGTAAGAATTTTGAAAGAAATCGGCCACTAGTTGGCGCTAACGAGTTTTATGGCTCTGTTATCACGTGGTGTTGCACACACACCCCACAATATGTATATCAATTGATAGATCTCCTCACGCTGAACAACTTTGCCTCAAGAACATTTGCTGTCAATCAAATCGTTCGTTAAATATTCACGAATATGTTAAAAACGTACTTTTGCGAACTAGTCCTTGTTTTTTGCCGATCGGAACCAGACCAGTCTAGGACAATTCTTTGGACACTCTAGATCAATAATTATCAAAAAAAGTTGAACTGTGTCATTTGTTTTGCTATAACAGGGTCATTAATAAAAGGGCCATGACAAAATGCACCCAAAGCCTATAAATCCTAAAGGAAAAGTCAGAACTTCACAAAAATTGATGAGCACATGTGTCATAACTTATTCAACAAGCATGCAAAGTTTCATGGAGATCGGACTATAGGTGGCGCTATAACTGTTAAAAATGTTAAAAACAATGTATTCCCTATGGTAAATTGCCATTATTGAAACTTAAACCTTAATGTCTTTTGATGCTTTTGTGCTTAAAGGCCTTAAAGGCCTAAACTGCTTGAACCCCGCTAAATGCTGCTTGCAGCTTTAATTAGGGGTTCAAGCACGAAGTGCTGAAACCCTATTGTAATTGTATT